GGCCCCAGGAGCACTCTATAAGCCTCTTAAAAGCTATGTGCTGTCATTTTGGTGAAGGGGGCAGGGTTTTGGGAAGCAAAAAATGCTGTATTCAGTGTATAAGACGCACCCAGATTTTCAGCCTCTTTTTTGAGGGAAAAAGGTGCATCTTATACTCCGAAAAATACAGTAGTTTTTTTTGTCTAGTGTTGAATTAAGGATCTATTGTCTACCCCTCTCAAATGTTGACCAAGCAGGCAGTCACTACTTAAGTTGAAAACTCTTAGCTCGATTTAGAGTTAAAACTCAATTTAGCTGGAAAACTAAACCATTAAGATTATACTGTGTATCTAAGCTAGTGTTTTCCAAACATGGCAACTTTAAAAGAAGTGGGCTTCAACTCCCAGAATTCTCCCAACTAGCATGAATTCTGGGATGTCCACACTTCTTAAAATTGCCAAGTTTTGAAAACACCATGGCTTAGACTCAGGTTCCATGCACTTTAAAAAGAGGTGTGTGACATTAAAATGATTAGCTCGCACATATGAGCTAATCGTTACCAACTCTAGGGGGTGGTGATCATCTCCGTTTCAAAACCGAAGAGCCAGCATTGTCCAAAGACATCTCCGTGGTCATGTGGCCAGCATGACTAAACAGCAAAGGCATATGGAACACTGTTGCCTTCCCACCAAAGTGGTTCCTATTTTTCTACTTGCATTTTTACATGCTTTTGAACTGCTAGGTTAGCAGAAGCTGGGAGCTCACTCCGTTACATGGCACTAGGGATTTGATCCACTGAACTATCGACCTTCTGATCAAAAGGTCAGCATCTTAGCCACTGCATCCCCTTTAAAATAAAAACATTAAAATAGAAAGTACCTATTTCTTACCAATTGAAACATAAAGCATTCTTCAGCCAAAAAGGCATCACACATATTTGCACTACTCAAATGACCCTGTGGACACAAATAAATTTCCAAGTGGCCTCAACGACTCTCTAAAAGGAGGCAAATGACCAGCTGTCTGCAAGGAATATAAATCCTGCCATTCCCCAGTCAGAACTGAAGAAGCTTCTTGGATGAGAAGTGAAACATCTTCACACACAAAAAACAAGAAAGTCCAGTTGCCTTGTGAAAAAGCACCTTTGGGATATTTAAAACATGACTTTTCCTTACCTGAGGAACCATCTTATTCCCATCACATCAGCCCAGCCCACCCAATCAGAAAAAGAAGTTATGTTATGGGCCCCATCATTAAAGATTCCCACTGTTAGGATCAAGGAAGAGAGCCTTCTTTACTGTTGCCCCTACTCTCTGGACTATCCCCCCCCCCCAATTCTCCTAAGCTTTTGAAAGAATCAGGAGACCTGGCTATGCCACTTCACATGGAGCTCACCAAGGGGCATGCAACCCTAGTGGTGGTGAGTGCCTTTTAGCCAGTGGTGGGATTCAGCCGGTTCGCACCTATTCATGAGAACTGGTTGTTAACTTTCTAAGCAGTTTGGAGAACTGGTTGTTGGAAGAAATCTCCTTTTGTTTTTTCCCACTTCACAGGGCTAATCCTGTAAGGAAGGCAGGAAGGAAACATTCTGGTGTTGTNTGTGGGGGCGATATGCTGACTCTGTAAACCGCTTAGAGAGGGCTGAAAGCCCTATGAAGCGGTATATAAGTCTAACTGCTATTGCTATTGCTATACCAGCAGAGCTGGCCTTAATTTGATAAACCCTTGATCCTTATATTATTTCATACATGAAATTGGATCCAGTAAATTAAAAAAAAGCAATGCAGGTCTTCGGGTCTGGGATTATAGTATGTCTTTTTTTTAAAAATTGTTCCTTACAAATGAAGCAAATGTTCCGCATCCAGAGGGAACATGCTAGCCTTTTGAAAGAAAAATTACACAAAGCATTTTGACATCAAGGCAAATAGATTTGTTACTGCAAAGCTTTGGAGGCTGTGATCAGCATGAGTGCAACAATACATTTGTTAGGTCTTTTAAATACCCAAAGACTCTTTGTTATAATTAGAAAATGTCATCTTCAGAACTATGCTGTAGTACAAACAAATTTCCATCAGTCCTATCTTCATTTTCAGAAAAGTGTACATCCACAGCTGAGTAACACCTTATCAACCAAGCAAAAAGCCAAACTGGATTTTATATAGTTTATTCTTATAGAGTAACATGATTCTCTCCCTCTCTTTGTGTCTGTGTTTGTGTCTGTATGTTTCTAGCAATAAGAGACAATAATATACTTGGTTCAAAAACAGATGCTCCTTAATTAACAAGAGAATATGGTATTGTTTTAAAATATATTCAGTACATATATTCAATTAAAAGAGCCTTGATTTTTTTACATTCTCCAATCTCATTTGTTTCATTTTAGCCAGAAGCAAAATCCAAAAACTTTTGCTTCTGCTTTAGGTTCATCAATTTAACTTAGAACTTTTTTTTTTTGTTCTTACAGGGTACTGAGCCATAATGCAAATCATCTGCTTTTGCAGAAGCAGAATGAATCCTGGTGTTGTAAAATATTTAAAAACTGAGTTATTCCAAGAGATCTATGGTGAATGATAAGGCATCCACTCGGAGTGATTGTATAACATTCATAAGGTAAAAGTTCCCATC